CCCATGAAGCCTGAACGTTCAACCTGATCCCCTAAGCCCTAAGCCCTAAACTCTAAACCCCTAAACCCTTACCTCTAAGCCCCTAAACCCTAAACTCCTAGACCCTGAACCCTAAACCCCTTATACTCAAATTCCCAATCGTCTGCTCATAATCCCTTTAAAGGCCCACCTAACACCCTAAACCCTAAAACCCTAATCCCTAAACCCCGAATCCAGCCTGCGTCGTCTCCATCTTGTTCTTGGGGTTTTTGTCCATGGAATAGACTTCACAGTTCTCGGGGATGGCCTGGTAGTTATGAAGGAGTTCATGGGTGTAGGGTTTAGGGTTTAGGGATGTAGACGGTTGGGGTTTAGGGTTTAAGGCTTAGGCTTTGAGGTTTGGGGTCTTGGGTTTGGTGTTTTTTTGTTGGAAAATAAAATTGAAAATAACATGGAATGTGGGCTTGTACGAGAGTTAATGTGGGGGCCCAAGCAAATAGAATAAGGGCTTGGGGTATACTAAAAGACAGCTGTACAATAGAAGGGATAATACTATTGATTTACACGTTTCTACAAAAGGTTGTGAAGTGCAGGGTAGCTGGTTTGGACTTAAAGGTTTCGGGCTCCGCGGTTGCACATCAGATGAGAGAAAAACCGCCGGACTAGCTGCGTTGGTGCCACTACATTCCAGTACTGTACTGTTTTAATATGGAGGGATTCCAAAAATTAGGGGCCCTGTTTTGGGAGACCTTATAATACGGGTTAAATTACATGTGGCTTAATTCACGTTGGGGCCCACTGTTTATGAAAACTATCACATTACGGCTGTAAAAACAACAGCTTCAGCAAGAACATTTGAACTTGAATCGTTCATATGAAGGCTACCAGACTTTGGTGCGTTGCACGAGGACTATCAGTTCAGCAAAGAACCCTACACACCAACCCTAATCCTTAAGTTCTAAACCCTAATCCCAAACCGTAAGTCGTAACTCTGAGGTCAACACCTGGTCTTCACTACCCTCCGCCTTTTCGCCAGTGGTAAACCAGTCTGACACCTGGCGCGAATGGATTAGGGCATAAGCCTTGGGGATTCAGGATATCGGGTTTAAGGAAGACTCGGAGGGTCAGGGAGACTTAGTAAGTGGACTAGTAACTCATATATCCCACATAGTACGCCTAGTTATCCCCAATATTAACCTACTTACGAAGTCCCCTTGACCGTCCAAGTAGGTCCAGGGATTAGGCGTTAGAGTCGCTAATCTCATTCAAAACAGCATCCGCCTAGCAGGCGCGCAGACTGAGGAATGTTACAACCCACTGCCCGACGTGCAAGGCATGCCTGAATTTTCGCCAAAAAAACTGAACGACCCGCCCTGATAAACCCTAAGCTTTCCTTAAACCCCCTGAACCCTAAACCTTCAAGCCCAGAATACATAAAGTTTCAGAGTAGTGCCAGAAAAAGGGGGTCAACAGTAGCCCAAGCCGCGCCCGAAACATTGGACTTGAACCCTGTACAGTCTCCAGAAACGAATTTGCAGGGCTTCTTCAAAACACTTCTAGGTCAAAGGATCAAGCAGTGAATTCACGTGAACTATAGTCTAAACTCCTAGTATCCCCCTTAATAACCCCTACAGTAGTCCCCTATAGTAGTCCCCTATATAACCCCCCTTTAAGGAGTTTAGACTATGGCTCACGTCAGGATGACTTGAAGAGGTTGAGGCGAGGCTCTTGGAGGCTCTGGGCTACCCCAAGTCCCAAATCCTGGAACTCTACAGGGAAAAATCAGAGCAACGCCCCATATAGGTTAAGGGTTTAGGGGTGTAAGGTTTAGGGTTTCGGATTTAGGGTTTAGGGTCGTGTATGTCTATATACATATTTTTCGATCAAACGGCAATCCAGAGTGTTGGGGCAGGGCCCGGATGTTGCACTTTGTAACAGTCTATGGTAGGGATCATATTCAGGGCTATATATAACTATATAATCAATATTATAGAAATATGATCCAGCTGTTACAGAGTGGGGGCAGTACCCAAATTCTATGTGCAATCCCTCCCTACTCATAATATGGGGTTTAGGGTTTAGGGAAGCAAAGTGCGCAGCAGTCCCCAGGAATCCCCCTGGAAATATTCCCTGCTTGATCGACACGACTTCTCAATAAACTCCTGATTTGTTGAAGGCATCACCGCAAGGGGACATTCAAGCTATTTGTCATTCTCATAGGGTTTAAGCTCAAAAAGGATGGGGTTTACAAGCTTTCCAGGGGGTTTATGACCTGTTTAATGCACCGAAGGAGGGGTGAAACACCCGTTTGCGCTCTCATCTAAAGATAATGAAATCGCAATGGAACTTGCGTTTATCTAACTCACTTGCCGTTTTAATAAATAGCGTGTAGGCTGCCCTACCCTAGACCACTACAAATCATCGTAAAAAACCAACGAATTTGCTGTGTTAGGATAGGATAACCTTTTTGCAACCTGCACATCCCTGTATCTAAGCCTGGCTTTACGAAAGGAAGCTTGGGATGTAGAGCCGATTCAGGCATAAGGGCATAAGCAGCGACTTAACTCTAATGTTTAAGCGGGAAGTGAACCTTGATTCAGCCCTTAGTATAACTTGGGTTGGGCCCCCACCCCCTAATAGTGGTATACTAGGAATATTTAAGGACCTTAATACAATTACCATTACCTCCTGTGTTCACTATTACTGGGTGGAGGCCCAACCTAAAGTATAACTCTCCCACGTCCTTTGTCCTCATCTTGTTTTCAGCAAATAGATAGGTTTCGCAACTACGCACAACAAGCCAAGGTCCTCATAAGAAATGTGGCAATAATTCTATTAGGAGACGACCTTTAGCTCGTTTTGAAGAAGTAAGACGGCTCTCGATTCAAAGATGCAGAGGCTGCTGAATCTATAGTCCCCACTTAGATCTTATCATGATATACCCAAAGCCATATTCTATCTACTTGAGCAGGACTATATTCATGAGAAATCTCAAGAAAATCTTCAGAGAGAATCTCTGAAACACGTAATCCCCCTAAACCCTGAACCCTGCTCCCTAAACCCTAAAGCGCATAAGCGTCAGCTTATTCTGGGTATGTAGAGAATGCTCATGTTGTCAAAAATGGTTTAGGGTTTAGGGAGCAAGGTACAATAAAGCTCATCAACTTTCTGGAAGATAAATAAAGAGTGTTTGTGGAACTCTTCTTGGAACTCAAAAGAGCTCGACTATTTCCCAACGAGACCCACCGTCTAAATAAGAAACAGTTATCCTCTCATCAATATACGAATTCAATATACGAAAATGCTGGATTGTGGCATTTCTATCGTTCACATATGTTCTTGGCTATACAAGCTCTTTATCAAAATCCATTTCCTTCATACCGACAACTTACAGCACAGTTCGAGGATGCCCATGTTCTTACATCAAATCCTCGCTGCTTCTTGGAAAATCAGGCTCCAAATCATGATGCCTAGCATACCTGAGACTAGAATTACGAACTTTCTAGGTGTGCAACAAAATTTGCGCCTGCCCCAACAGCAAATTCGTGGGGAATTACGGCGTTTCCCAGGATTTGCCACAAGAATAAAACCAGATGGGCAGAACAAGAGGGCCATTTCCAAGCCCAACCCTTGTACTGATGCTTTAGCATAGAACTCATCTATAAAACAGTAAAAGGGCTTACATGCAAAACCCAGGCCACAGCAACACGCCCTCTACCGGCAAGGGTATTAGGGGGGGTGTTAGGGAGGATTATTCCCTAAACCCTAAACTCTAAACCCTAAACCCTAAACCCCAAACCCCTAAACCCTAAACCCCTAAACGATTTTCCTTCCCGTGCTTGGTGCGGCCTTGTCCGGCTGCGAGGCAACTACCGCAGAAACCTCCTCCAAAGCGACCTCCACCTCCTCTGTGGCAGATGCCTCTTTTGGGTTCTGGGGTTTAGGGTTTAGGGCTGAGGGTTTAGGGTTTAGGGTTTTGAGGAGTTGGGGTACTGAGGGGGGTTTATGGTTAAGGGATATGACCGCGACGGACTCAGGAGTCTCGCATCACGATGTCGCTGAACACCTAGTGGCCTCCATCAGATAATTACTGAGAAGTGGGACAGAGGCCCGCAAACTATCTACCAGGGACTCTGAGCCACACCTAACCGAGCCACACCAAGGAAAAACAAATTGGCCTCAACCCTAAACCCTACACCCTAAACCCTGCAACCCTAAACCCTAAACCCTACACCCTAAACCCTGCAACCCTAAACCCTACACCCTCAACCCTACAAAACCCTAAACCCTAAACCCTACACCCTCAAGTATGGGGCCTAAGCCCTAAAACCTAAACCCTGACTGTCAGATGCAAGAGCCTCATCCCTGGAGAGGAAATCCCAAAAGCTAAGGTTGGAACTATACAATATGGAGGTTCTTACAGTATATGGTACCTACTATAATGGAGAATCACATGGAAAAGAAAATGGAAAATGAAATGGAAACTGTGATTATATAGGGGATTATAGGGATTAGGGTTGCAATAAGGGGTACCTTGAAAGGGGGCTTATAGGGGTTATATAGGGAGATTTTGGGATATATAGGGATTATATAGGGTTTAGGGTTTAGAGCTTAAGGTTTCCCAAAATTAGGGGTACACTCTTGGAGGTCCCCATAACAAGGATTACAATATTTTGGGGTCTATATTGGGGTCCTCTTATTTTGGGAAACTTCCAAGTATGGGCGGTTCATCCTAGAGTCTGTATATGAGCCATCGTCTAAACTCCTAGTATCCTCCTTACTAGTACTCCCCTACATAACCTATGTAACCCCCTTTAAAGGATTCAGACTATAGCTCATATACCTACTACATACTCTATACCGCCGGCCCGTAATAGAAGAATCAACAGCCAACATGTCGCGAGCTGGGCCAATCTGCTTACCTTTGGTTAGCTGGGAATGAAGGAATGGAAAAGAAAATGGAAACTACTGTCACGGCTTCTTTCGTAACCCTCGACCCTGCTAACCAAAGGCAAATCTACCAGCAAATTCTTCAAGCTGGTGGCTTAAGGCTTAAGCCGGCTACATGGGGGAGGGGGTCTTAGACAGGGCGTTTTTTGGACCGCAGGATATACATACATACATACATACATACATACATACATACATACATACGTATGTATATATTCACAACCCCCCATGATCCACACCAAGTTCTTTTGACCGTGATAGACAGCTCACTTGAGCTTCTCTCTGGGATCTTCCATGCGGTGAAAATACCGTGAAGATTAATGTTTCTGCATGTTCAAGAAGATGTCTGAGTGTTGGTTACTGGTTCTTTCATGTCTTTCCTCAATAATGAGTGATAATCAGATTCTGATCATCGAATTTCGACGTTGCATGAATACAGAGAGCAACAAAAACACTGAACTGCTTGTGAACTTTAACAAGGGCGGCCCGAAGCCGCTGAATTCTAAGGATTTGACGCCAAGTACAGCGATTCCTGGACTCCTACAAATCCCTTACCCTAAACCCTAAACCGTAAACCCTAAACTAAACCGGGAACCCTGGACTCCAGGATTCCTGTGGCTTTTGAATCGACCAAATTCAGGGACAGTACAGCACTTTTGGCAGCCTCAGAGGGCAAAAGCGCTGTACTGTCCCTCTAATCCGGCATCTGGCAAAACCACAACGTAGGGACAATACAACACTCTAGGGGTTCCAGACCAAAATTCAAAGGACGGTAATGGACTTTTGCCCTCGCAGCCTGCAAAAGTGCTGATTCATATAAGCCGGATTCCTGTTGAACAATGGAAATCCAAGATTCCAGGGTGTCTAATTGGTTTTCATATCGAGTTCGTGTAGATCGCAATCTTATTGAAAACCCGGCAGATGGCTAACTCTCTCATGTGGATCAAGGGAAGTTGAGCATATAAATATGTATATATATGTATATCCTAAAACCTAAACCCTACATATATGTTCCGGAGCAATCATCGGGGTCCCCTTTGTCAGTGTTGCGAAGCTCCTATCTGCAGAGGCTTACCCTCTGCGTAGCTCAGGGTAGATGTCGGTCCTCAAGGTGTCGGGAACATATATATATATATCATATATATATATATGAGCTACTGTCTAAACTCCTAGTATCCCCCTTAATATACCCCTATAGTAGTCCCCTATATAATCCCCCATATAACCCCCTTTAAAGAGTTTAGACTACAGCTCATATACATAGGGCAAGGCCTCAAAGGCTCAAGTAGCCGGATTGCCATGCGCTCGTAGGCGACACGAATTCAAGGGAGCTCGTAGCCATGTCTCTAAGCACAACACTGAATGAACAGAGAGTGTAAGAACAGCAGCAACGTTTTCAACATGAACATGAGCCAGCAACGCAATGAATATGGCAAAGGCCTTTCTGTTTCTAGATTCTAGTACTCTTACGCAAGAAGTGTCAATAGTTGAAACAGTAAGGGACGTACATGATTTGGCTGTCAGGTGGAACTTCCTGACTGTATACTGTTGCAACAACAACCCCACCAAACCAGATCAGAGCACAGACCGAAAAGAAAAAAAAACTCGGTAGCTAATGAACAGGCACAGAAAGTCCCTGACCCTTAGTGTAGACCTTCTCCTTGATTGGAGGAGAAAAGGGAACCTGAGAGTCATGGGAGGAACCTGGAGCCTATCAAGACAAGTGTCTTGTGGCAAAAGGGCCTACATTGGCTACAGTTCTCCGAGGGGAAGTCCTTCATTTTGGTGGTAAGTTCAGGATTTAGGTGCACGGGATCTACCCTAAATCCTCAACCCCAGATGAAGACTGCACCCTGAGCCGTAAACCTGAAACCCTAAACCCCTAAACCCTAAACCTCAAACCCTCAAATCCTGAACTGCAAATCCTAAACCTTAAAGTTTGAAGGCACAGTTCGAATGGCTTTGGGCTTGCAATTAGTTTTGCACGATAAAACAACCCGCAGACCGTGGTTTCTGCTGCAAGAAAACATGGCGCATAGCTCATAATACCCTAGAATGGTTTTGGGCGGCTTTGGGGTTTAGGATTTAGGGTTTAGGGTTGTTCAAGGTTTAGGGCTGCGGGGTTTAGGGTTCCGGGTTTAGGATTTGCGTCTCAGGGTTTAGAGTTCAGGACCGAATTCTAGCTGCTTTTGCTTCATGGAGACTTCTCTCCCCCAACAGGCTTGGAGTGCCAAATTTCTCAACCCCTCTTCATACACCTTCTTGTGATTCGATGTTACTTTCGGGGAATGCCCCTGGACCCTAAACCCCAAAGAAAGCCTCCATCTCCATCTCTTCGCGGTCGGCAGTGCTGAGGCAGCTGTGCCTGTGTGTGTGTGGGGGGGCAGTGTTCCATCTTCAGAAACCTAGGGCCTAGGGTTTGGGGTTATTTAGGGTTTGGGGCTGAGGGATTGTTAGGGTTTAGAGTTATTTAGGGCTTAGGGTTACTTAGGGCTTAGGTTTTAGGGTGTGGGGTGCCATCTTCAGAAACGCGCAAGGGTAGAGAACCCCAAGTTATGTTCCACTGATAGGGAATCAAATGGAAAAGAAAATTGGAAATCAAAACGAAACTGGGTCATTATAGGGATCGGTAGGGATTACGTCCCAAAACCCGGGGGCCGGGGGAGAAGGGGGGTGGCAAAAGTGAACACCGTTGGTTCAAACTGCCACATCTAGCATGCCAGCGCATGCGCGCAATCGACTCGTAGGATGGCACCTCATACCTTGGAAGCCTCTAACTCAGACCCCTGATTAACCAACCCCCTCCCTTTAATAGGGTTTATAATAAGGATCCCAATATTTAGGCCCTTCAAAGGAGGGGGCTTCTTAATCATGAGTCAGCATTACCTTTTTAATCCCAATATATACCCTATATACCCCGACAACCCCAATATATACCACTATAGCTTCTACATTAGGATGCAAGCAACCTCCCTTGTGCTTTCGAAACAGCACCTCTGGAAGAGAACTCTGGCAGAGCCCAGCTCAAACATGGCAGGTTTAGGGTTTAGGGTTTGGGGATCAGGGTTTTGGGTTTAGGGTTTAGGGTTTAAGATTTGGGGTTTAGGGTTTTTTAGGGTTTAGGGTTGAGGGTTTAGGGCCTGAAGTATGCACTAATTAAACCTTGTGTCCTGCCCCCACCCAGCAACAGTTGGACATTTGTATACTATAGCTGTATATAGCCCTTAATCTTACCCCGATTATAAGCTGCTACTGGGTGGGCGCAGGACTCAAATTAAACCTCAAGTTCCAGAAGGCATGCAGCCCAACAATGTAAACCCTGTATAAAATTAGCTTCCAAAACTCTTTACAACCCTCACGGCATACGACACTCTAGCGTAAAGGCTGAAGAAATCGCAATATTCTACCCCCTCGCTCTTCATACAACTATAATACGAAGTTCCATGGAACTTACTCAAAAAGTAGGACCCTAAACCCCAAAATCCTAAAGCGTACAGCCTCAGTGCTCCGGCCTGGAAGAACTGCGCCTTGAGAGACGGGACAGGCGAGATCCACAGCTTGCCAAGCTCATATCGGAGCCTCTGCGGTTTAGGGTTTAGGATTTAGGGTTTAGGGTTTGGTGCTTCAAAGCCCTGAACTCCAAACCCCAAGCCCTGAACCCTTAACCTTAAGCCCCCGACCCTTAACATCTCGAAACCCCAAATTTGCAATCAATCGGGGATGATCTGGGGCCTAGATAAGGGATTGCACTCTTCAGCCGCCCCAGGCGGTTTAGGGTTTAAGGTTAAGGGTCTAGGGTTTAGAGTTTAGGGTCTCCAGGAGGAGCTACGTGGCAGGAGGAGGGCTGCTGGCTGTTGAGGCTTCTGTAGGTTGAACATTTGCAGGTCGGATTTCTGACTCCAGTCAAAGCTTACGTGGGGGCTTAGAGGCTTCCATGAGGATCCTATGGAGTTACAGGTTTATGGGTCTCC